AATCAACCAGCTGCTGCTTAATTAACATGTAAATGAACCAAAGATGACAATGTCCAATGTTGATCATTTGGACTGGTTGATCGTTGTGCTGAATTGAATTTACTGGCGTTTAGTCTAATCTATCCATTATTTGTTTACTTGTCATTTATTCACTTAGTGCATATGTCATTTATTACTTAGCAGATCGTAGATGACCTCCTTCATTTCCTCACTTATTTCTTTTATTCCTTTTATTGATTTCACCCTTTCACTACTCATTTATTCGATATTTTCTCATCTAATAAACAAATTAATCACGAACGATAGTAATAAAAACAACAACAAAAAAGAAAAGCACGAATATTTAATTTACTTCAAAGAATATAAAAGAAAATTATTTACTAATTTCCGATGATTGATTATTTTATTTTGTCTAAAAGTTGAAAAATTTTTAATAAAAATGATGAAAATTTGAAATCTTTTTATTACGGTGATTTCTTTCGTTATTTCCAATAACATTTATAAATTAAATGAGTTATTCATATTTTCTTTCTTTTTTTTAGTTAATATTATACATTTTCAATTTAACGATCAAATCAGAAAAGCATTAGAACTTTTCAAAAAAAAAAAAATTCAAAATTTTTTTTCCTTTATAGCTCAAAATTGAAACATTTGTTTTTTTTTGTAATTAAAATGAAAAATAAGAATTGAATTTATGATGATCGAAACAATTTTTTGAAGTTAATTTACGGATGAAAGTAAAATTGTTTATTGATTGCATAACTTCATTTGCAGTAGTAATTTCTCCCTGTTTTTGTTTATTAAAAATTTACCGCTTTCCATCTTTCATCCTATTCATCATGAAAGAAAAAAAATGCTAACAATAAATCTTCCAAAATAAGCTGAGCTCTTTCGTCATCCTTTAGCAACGATCACTGATTGTATTATCATTGATTAGATTTAATTTAAAATACTTTCCCAGAATTTAATGAATGGTGTGATTTGGATTGAATCATCATAATTAAATATGAAATACTCATTTAAAAATACTCACGTGAAAATATGCACATACAGATAAAATACACATATACGCAGTGACTTCTGATTTAACCTTTCCTGCGATTTTCATTACCTGGCTAATATTTAGTTACAGTAAGAAAATGGATCCCTGAAGTGCATTCGAGAAAACAATCATATCTACAATATTTCTCTTTAAATTGTAAATTAAACTATTAGAGGATGAAATACATGTACAAGCACATACGTAAATGCGTATACGTGACATGAATATATACATAATATACAATCAAATTTATTCAGACTATTCGGTTCAATTATTCATCGATGAGATAGTATACTTCTAATTTCCAATGGATGCTTTGGATACAAGCAGATTTACTGTGTCGGTTATACACAAAGCTGTTAAATTGTTCAATAGTTTTAATAGCTGATATCACGAATTTCTCTCAGGAACATGCCTGAAAATCATGATATCTCTCGAGAATAAACTCGAAACTTCTCGAAATTATTTTAAATCCAATATTTATCACATAGCCAAACCAAATAATTATACTAAAAATTTCTTCTTAATGATTCATCATTTGTGATGATGTTTCTGTTAATTTTCACATTCTCAAACCTACTTCGCACTTTAATCCTTATCTCAGCAATTATTTTTGTTCCAAATAACTAACCTAAACGTTCCCATCAATATCAGCCATGATGAATATATCTGAAAGTCATGATATCGTAACTGAAAGTTATCAGCCAATCAAAACTATTCCGCTTATTTTCATCTCATTATTTAGATTATTGGTTCACAATTTTTGAGAATTTAATAACTTTCTCAGCTAGTTATCATTCAAATAAATTTACCCGGATATGATTATTATCATCATAACTGATCAACAGGAAATGGCTTGAAAACAGAAAAAGATCGTGATTGAATATTTCAAATTATTATCGTTCTATCTTTCTCCCACTGAAACAATTTCTTTCTTTTTTATCATTTCTCATCCATTAACTTTATATTATAGCTATCAAATTTTATTTGAAATCAAACATAGCAACTAATAAAATGCAAAACGTTTTATTTGACATTAAACACTCAGAAAGTCATCATTGAATTATTTCAGTTAATTTCATTACTGTTCAAATCAAACATTGACAAGTGATCATTGTTCTTTATAGTACAACTTTTTAAACTTCTTTATGAAATTAAATTTAAAATTAATGTTCAATCATATGCGAATATATCAATGGTAGAAAGGTCAAATTTCTCAAAAATGATTTAAAAAGTTATAAATCACTAAAACAGAATCTATAATCGATTTATGTTGATCTTTTTTTGTAAGATTTTTTTAATTGACACGAACAATATGGAGTGATTAAGTGATAAGATTGTAAATTCATAACCAAAAAAAAAATACCGGAGGCTGCTTTTTTCATTATTGCAGTGTACGTGGACGAGACATGGTGGTATACGTGTTTACGCACGTACGTGTTGTACCAATGATACATCACTATGCCGTGATGCAGTGGAGCAAGATCATGGTATTTTGGCGCTTTTCAATGGATTATGTTCAACAATTTGCATTTTACTAATATCGGTTGTCGTGCGTGAACGTCGTAGACATAATGAGGCACGTGGTTGGGCATTAATGGAAATTTTCCTTCTTGGCGCTGCTATGTTATATGCTATTGTAAGTTTGATAAAACTTCTCGTATCGAAAAAAAAATGAATAAATGTGAATAATTGAAAATGTAATCTGAGAAAAATTCGACTTCGTTTTTTTTTTTTAGAGTAAAAATATATGTGAAAATGAAATAGTTTTAAATTGTTTTATTCGTGTATCAATGAAATAAAATTGTAGTTATTGCTGGATTGGTTTAATTTGGCTACATCAACGTGTTGCTTTGCGGTATGGTTACGTCAAATTGGTTTTTCGACGTTTTATGGTTCAATTGTTTTGAAAATTTATAGGTATTAGTTATGAAAAGATTGAAATGAAAAATTACAGAATAGATGAAAATTTTAGGCAAATTTCATAAAAATTGCAGAGATCCTTCCCAAACATTGAATTGTTATAACTATTTGTTTTACAAATAAATTTTACTTTTATACTGAATAAAAAATGCAAATTTTGAGTATCACAAAAAAATTTTACAATTTTGCCTTTGATATCGTCTTACAATTTAAATATTTCTGCATAACAAACGGGTTTTTTTACAATTCCTTTAGTTTTGAGTTTAGGTAATTAGGTTCAAAACTAAGATATGTAAAGTTCGAATCGATTATAATAGAAGCGTTGAATAAATTTCTCGTTTCTTGTTATTCAATAAAATCAATATATTTTTTTTGACTCTGAAATTATAATTAAAGGAATTTACAAGAATATCGTGTACGCAAGGCTCATCATGTTATTGTGAAAGAAGAAGATTTGATAAAATATTTGGCATGCTTACTAGCATTAACACTAACTGGGCTTATTGCGTGGACACTTGGCTCGTTTGCTGATGAGGAGCTTTGGAAAAGCAGTTGGCCACAATGTCCCATACAAGC